GCAATCAGGTTGGTCTGACATGATCTCCCCCTAATAAATCCATGCTGATTGCCCCTGAGCATCATTTCTGATGCCGGCCCATCACAAATGTGCTCCTTGATGATCTTCTCAAAGAGTTTCCCCAGGATTGAGGTAAGACTGACGGGCCTATAGTTGCCTGGGTCCTCCCTCTTCCCTTTCTTGAAGATGGGGACCACATTTGCTACCTTCCAATCATCTGGCACCTGGCCCAAGCACCATGTGTATAGGCATCCTACAGGATAGTGTGGGCATAGGCTATCTTGGTAATAAAAACCATCCCTTTCAAGTCAGTTGATGGAGTTGCTGCTTTCAATGGGATTCAAACGCAAAGAAAAAAATAGTTGCCTTGGCAGGCCAGGCAGGGCCAGGCAGGGTCAAGTGGATATAGCCATCTTGCAGTCTTAGGTTTTGTGGCTGTGCTTTTCATTACCACTTTTCCAGATTATCACCTACACGTGGCAGGGTAGCTCCTATAAAATACCACAACGTTGCTACCTCCCAAGTAAGGCAACTATAGGGTGCCTCAAAGCCCTAGCCCACAATGCTTTGTGGGTATACCTTGATTGGAGAAAGGCTAAGGGACATCACCCTAACAGAAGTGCGCCCTCGATGAGGCATTAGGCAGCAGTTCTTATGTGTTGCTCTCTGGCAGAAGCTGCAACCATCAAGGCCCTGAACATCTGGACGCAGTCTGGCCTTTGGATTCTCAGTTGGATTCTCCAACCACAGCCCCGTCTCGGTGGTCTGAAGGAGGGATGGTAGGTCTTGGGCAGCCTCCGCTCCTCCATACTCTTGCCTAGGCCTACATATTGAAGGTCTTGGCACGATTCATTAGACACGTGACTAGACCTCTTGTGTGTACACCAGGATCCAGAGGAGTGACAGCTGCCTACTCATATTTAGACTGAGGCACCCTCTGTTTCCTGCATTGCTAAAAAAGTTGGTGTCACATGCCCTCACAAGCACTGGAGATGCAGGAACAGGGCTCGCAGGGAAGTACAACCAGGACAGTCCAGATTCCAATATGGTTGAAATGTATGAGGACCAACAGGGTTCTCAGTGAGAGTCAGTGTAGAAAAATGGTAAATAGCTTAGTCTCCATTTCTACTGGGCCGTGTGGTTAGAGATGCCTGAAATTTCCCCTGCCAGCTTAGGCTAGTTTGATACCCCACACTGCTCCCAAAACCAATGATGTTTTCTGGCTGCTTGAATGCCAGAAGTGGATAACAGTACTGCTGTATGGCTTGAAGTCTTTGAATTCCTGAGTTTCAGTCCAGCTCCACACCCGGCACGCTCTGTGGTGTTAGGCAAGTTGCTTCACTTATCTGTATCTCAGTTTCCCCATCTGTAAAATGTGGGTAATTATATTTATCTACCTCCTAAGTTCCTAAATAACATGAACAGATAATGAGGTTGTGAGGTTTAATTAAATAATGTTTGCAAAGGGTCTTTGAACATGAAAAGTGCGGTACACAGTAAATGATAAGTATTATTATTCCTATTAATTAACTTTCTGTAGCTGCTGTGTTAGAAATAAACTGCCTGTACAATACGTTTGAAGGAGAGCAGCAAGCTTTATGATTTAACTATTATAAAGCGACTCAAAGGCATAATAGATGTAGCCTGCATGCTGATAAAAGCCACCATTTGGTCTCGTATATTCTTTCTAACAACCAGTTTATTAGCTTCTGGAAAGCATGCAAAACTTTGGGAATATTTTGAAAAGGAAGCATAAATTAAGGAGTGGAGACCAGATGTTGCAGTTGCTGAATGTATGATCTTTTTCTGCCCCTTGAGTCCAGACAACTCAGAGGTGAAAATATATTCATACTACACATCCCAGCATCACATCACTTATTGTCAGAGGTCAGTGGGATTATTATCTATTGCCTGTACTGCAGCAGCACTTAGGCACTTCAGCCAGGACTGAGCCCTTATTGTGGAGGGTGCTACACAACTGTACTGTGAAAGATTCACAGCCCCATCAAATTTACAAACTGAATGAGGAAAGAACATAACAGCTGAGCAAAGAGCATTTACACAATGGTGTGTGGGGAGACAAGAGCATTGGTAATAGCAACATACGGTGATTTAAGCTGGCTACATGTATAGCTTTGCCTCTTTAGGGATAAGTGAAAAATAATGAAACCCCAAGAGGCTCCAAGTGAAATTCTGACTATCATCATGTAGCTTGTTGTAGTCATCAGGGATGAGGCTGAGTCTTGAAGTGATTTGAAGGAGGGCATTTCAGAAATCTGCTCTGAGAAGTTTCTTTATGGCAATAGCAGTGCGGGGAGGGAGGTGGAGAAGGTGAGGACCGAGGTGGAGTGGGAGAGCTGAGTGTTTGAGGAGCCCAAACACAGGAGCGCTGCACTGCAGACTTGCAATATTGTCAAAGCTCTGTGGTGGTTTGATCTGAAAGGGGTGGTTAGGTCACAATTACTTTGCATTGGTAGAGCCAAGGGAGATGGTAGAGATTCGTGCTGGAAATGGATGGGTAAAAATATATGGAAGAGAAGTGAGCAGCTTGCCTGTCAGACCCATTTCACCTCGTACCTATGAGTTCACCCTTAAGCTCTTTGGAGATGTTTTTGGACTGTCTCAGAAAATCTTGGGACCCCTGCCACTGTACTGAGATTGAGGTCACCATGACTGCCATTGTAATATCAAACACAATAGAGGACAGGAGAGATGAGTCCTTGCTATGTAGGCTATGCATGTGGTTCATGAACCCAGTGGTTATCTAGGGCCACTAGAAATAAATGTTCATGCCTCAATTAAAAATAAGCAGGGGTGAAATTATGGCCCCACTGAAGTCGGCATGTATACCAAGTACTGTTAAGATCAATTATATAACTTAAAATTATATCCATATAGATTATACATTTACATGAACTCATCTTTAATATTACTTAAGATATATATTGATATAAATCAAATGCAGTCATTCAATTTAATTTGTTTTGTTTGCAAATAGCAGAGACATTTAGAGGGGTAGACTCAGCTGAGCATTAAATCACGGGCTTTTTAATTTGCCATTGAGGCAAGAGGCTGCCTGTACTATTCCTTGCTCTAACCACTGCCATTCACCTCACAAGTGCATAACTACTAAATTCACATGCAAAGAAATGTGCTATTGTGCTGCATATTTCTTATGAAGAAGAGCTGATTATTCTGGAGGATTTGACAGGAATAATTATCTTCTCTCTTCAACCCCTTGAATAAAAACAACAACAGAAAAATAAACTAGTATTGTAAATTTCAGGAGCTGAAATTGCATCTTTTGGTTTCCTTCTGTATTTTGCATTTTAATGCAATGCTGATGATAACATTTGTCAAAAAAAAAGACGCTTGCAGTCCTTCAGAATCAGAAGGTTCGGCAACAGCATAATTGGTGCAGTGTGGGAAAAATATTGTTTGAAATGTACTTCTGGGTGCAATTTGCTGTGATACTTCTCCCTAAAGTACATGAATTGGCTCTTCATCTCTGCTGAAGGAAAATGTTCCAGCTCATCCAGAAGCCCTCTCTTCATTAGCATGAATCCCTGCAAGAGAGGTTTCCTGAAAAGGCTAAGATCTGCCTTAAGATTCGTGGGCTTCTAGAGAAGAGCGGTATTTCAAGTTATTAAAGGGGAGGGATCCAGTAGGGATCACAGGGTCAGCCCTGGAGTTGCAAATCTGCACAAGGTCGGTTCCACTTCTTTACTGGGGGGATCCTCCCATTCCCATCTTCAATCAGAGGCTTTGCTTTTGATGGCATCCAGACTGCCTCACTGACATCCATGCACCTCACTGTTTGCCTGTTATTTTATATACAGCTCCTATTCCACTTCCCCATGTCGGGGCCTTGATGCTTACTTCCTTACATGACTTGGGCTCTAACATTTTCTGCTTCTTTTAATTTCTTCAGGGACTCTTAAACCTAATCCACATAATAAACTCACTGTCTCTGCCTTCTGAACCAGAAGTGGTGTTGTTATCTCTCTGGGTTGCTAGAGAGAGGGATGAGTGACAGTGATAGTCATCCCTCCTGAAGCACTGCTTCCAGTTGAGTAGGTAGCCGGCCCAGGGGTGTGCGGCATGCTGGAGGGCACTACCACTGGGGACTAAGTTTATCATGTAGCCATGACATTAAACAGCTTCTTCCATCCCCAGCCACACCTTCCCAGACTGCATGAACTCTTACCTACTGATGAGGTAGCTCAGCCCGGCAGCCTAATGACTGGCAGGGAGCAGCTATGTCCAGAACTTGACTTGTTTCTCTGCACCTTGACTCGCTGCTTCTTTCTGGCCCTCTCTGACCACCCAGCCTGGATCCCAAGTTGCATGCTTGAGTCTGGCCCTACCCACTGGCACTCGCCATCACTGAACTGCCTGCTTCTCCATGTCTGCTTGCACTCTAGATCCTCTTGCCTTTGTACTGGGGCCTGACTTGTGTGTTGCTGTGTGCTGTAAAATGTCCAGAGGCACTGGATGGTGTGGTGCATTTGGTCTGTTTCTGGAATCAGACTGATTACACCTGAATTTGACTTAGAGTTAGTGCAGTGGATGGCTGAGCTTGGAGCCCAGTGGCAGCAGATAGTCAAGCCTTCCTCCAAGAGGAATGTTTTTTGGTGGCTCGGTTCTTGCACGACTGCATGGAGACACAAAAGTGACAGCAGCCTGTTCCTGTCTCTTCCTCCAGAAACCATTACCGCCGGAGTGCAGCAGCAGCAGGCACCACTCAAAGGAAATCTTACTACACGCTTTCCTTCAGTGTTACATTCCCTCACAAAGATGATGTCTGCTACCTGGCTTACCATTATCCCTACACCTATTCAGCACTGATGGTAAGGCTGATGTATTCATAATGGGAACAAGGGAGGTAGGGGATGGGTCATGAGTAGCTCTTGATGTGGCGCAGGTAGTCTCCAGTTTTGACTGAATGCTAGGTCTTTTCCACAATGCTCTTTTTTCTTCTTCTTCTTTTTTTTGTATTTTTTTTTGGCCCTGTCCATAGGAACAATCCCTGACGTGAGATATTTGAATGTGCTTATGAGAATCTAAGGTTGAACTTCTTGTTATTGAAACTGGTGCTGGCAACTGATTTATAGTTTTATTTTATTTCCTCAATATATTCTGTGCTGACCAGCATGGCAACACATTTACCTACACCAATGTGCTGGGTCATCTTGCTTCTCAGGGCACTTCACCAGACAAACCAAACTAAACCAAACATCTCCATTCACACTGTGCTCCTTGGTCCCCATCCTCAGTGTGGGCTGCTCTGAATGCTTATGGCAGGTTGGAGGAAGAGGCTGATTTCTTCCCTCCTGTGGTTAATCCTGAACTGCTAGGATATAGTGGGCGCATCTACATGAGACGCTTAATGCCCACCGGCCTAATTCTACTGCGCATTTGTGTAGCTGGAAAAAAACATGCTAATGCACAGTAGATTAGTCCAGTGGGCATTAAGTGTCAAACAAAAAGGATTCATCTGCGCTAATGGGCAGTAGTGCTGAGTATAGCACATTAAGTTAGTACTTGTTATTACAGGTACTAAAATTAATGCACTGTAATTATAGCACATGAATGAATGTGTAGATGTACCCAGTGACTCACTGCCTGTGGAGCTGTACTCTGTATTACTGAAGTGCAAGGCCTGCTTCAGATGTTTGCTCTGCACCAGTCACAATTGCAGTAGGAATGGATGCCCCCATTAGGCTGCACTGCTAATATATGCACTAAAAAATATAAACCTCGGGCATAGAGCTGTATTGCCTGACAGCTGTGTTAAAAGGTAGGCTAATGTTTGTCAGCCTGAGGAGGAAAGATTAACTCCTGTGGCTTCCTATAGCTGTTCATTAGCCAGCTGGTGAACAACATTGGGTGGTTATAGGGGAAATGAATGCAGTCCCCATTGTCAAACAATGGGTGCGGTATTAAAAGGGTGAAGAATAGAGGGGAGAAGTGGCGAATCTTAGGAGGTCCTCTATTTCCCTATTAAGACTGAGAAAGTAAACTCACCAGAAGCAGTGATGCAGGGAGTTTGGGCTGCCTCTGCCCCTTTTCCCAGCCTAATTAGTAATCTTTGCCATTAATCACCTTTGCTTTGCTCTTTTGCTATGGACGATGAATGGATGAGTGGGTGGATTTGGGTCCCACTCTACTTCTAAAGCTCAGACTTTTTTGATAACACCATATTGCCCTTCTCAAGAATGAAGAAATCACCCAAGAAAATGAAATGTCCTTTCTAATGTAGTCCCAGCCATGGAGCTGTATGTGTGTAGCCTAGCATGCCTACATGCTCTGTATTAGGCTCATTTCCATTTCAACCACAACCCCCTCTTAAAGGCTTCACTTCCATCTACAGATTACAGGTGGGAAGGGGCATGGGGGAGGGACAGAGTGTGAGGAGGGACAGATCCAGGCCCCCAGGGTGAAGGAGGGAGTGGGCCTGGGGCAGGGGCAGGTGCTGCCCAGCTGGGATAGGGTGCAGGGCAGAGCCGTGGGTGGCTCATCTGGGGGGCACAGAGGGGTTGGGAGCAGGGGGGGAGTCAGCTTCCTGTGCTGCACACACCCCAGGGAAGGCAGGGGGACATGTGCCCCGCAGATTTGTGTGCAGGTTGAGGGCAAGCTGCTGCTGTGGGCTCTTCCAGGTGGGGGGTCTGGT